TATACTATAGTAATTAAAAAAATTATTATGCAGCAAACGTTAAACGAATTTTTAAAAATAGAAATGTAATAAACACAAAACAATTAATCAGTTCTTAAAAGAAAAATTTGTATCTAATAAGGGGGGGGGCGTCCCCTGGTACGGGTACGATAACCAAAAATAAATTTATATAGGAATAGAGTTGCCGTCGTGTGTTGAGCGAGGTGTGGGGTGGGGTGAATACGTTATGACAGTCTAGTCTCAAGGTCATAGACGACGGAATATGCGATAACGCGTGATGCTTGGAGAGTTACAAACATACATACACACAGGTGAAACTAATATAAGCGTGTTAAAAAGTAGGTCAAGGAGGGTTGGTAAAATAAATCTTAGCCACAAAAAAAAACACATAGTAAAATAATATTAACATGAATAAGAAATTTCTTCTCACGAGGGGAGACTATAGTGATGGAATTCTTGATATTTAGTGAAGTTATTGATTCTAAATGAGATAAAAATCATATGATTTGAACATTTTTTTATATCTCAAAAAAAATGTATAATGTTTATTAGTCACAGGAGGATTCGAACCTCGTACCCTAAGCGTGAAAGACATGAATGTTACCGATTCGACAAATGTTCATTGTTTTCGTCGTAGGATAAAATTAGCAATTTAAGCTAATTAAAATTTAAAAGTTACTTTTTCGACTTTAAAAAAGCAAAAAAATTTAAATAAGTTTAATTTCTTATGTCCTATGAACTTTATTCTATGTCAATTAAATTATATAATATTCATGAAAGTCAGTGTATTGTCCCAAACGCAAGGAGATCTCCCCAACGATCAGTCCCCCACCATCATATTGGAGGAAACCCCGCCCAGCGCGGTTGTGCCCGTACCAGCGACTCCTCTGCCGGTCTTGGCCAAAAAGCCTAAGTTGGTGCTCCTGACTGCGGTTGATTTCTTCAACGCTGACGGGACACCAAAGAGGGTGATTGACCGGGCCGACGAGGTATTGTTGAATTATTAATCAAGTTGAGGAATGAGCAGAAATATTATTAAATAAATAAAATTTATTCATACACTCAGAACTTTGTTGTTGTTATAATTTATTATTAATAATACAAATTTATCAATAATGGAAAGACATATAATTGTTTTATTTTGTAACGCAACGTACTGCTTGATGTATCGCAGTGTACTAATTTAATATAAAAAAATATAATTGACAAATAGTGCCTTTTATTCTAGCAGACGACTACTAAATTTAGGTCGTAACATTTCTTTATTGAAAACTCATGTCAATTAACTCTAATTATTGTGCTATAACTAATATAAAAAAACCCCCCAAAAAAATGTATACATGACGGTTTCAATATTATGGGTTCGTAAAATATGCATAAGAAAAATATTTTAGTCATTTTTAAAGTGGCATATCCCTTTTTAAGGTGAATAGCAAATAGAGTATTTTTTTATATACTTTATCTCAATCAGGATATTAATAAGGAAATAGCAGATCATGTAGCTTATGAAATAATCCACCAATTCTTTAAAATTAAACACTATCCAAAGATTTGCATCGAAGCGTTTCTTATGATAGTGATTTTAATCACTGTCAGATATCATCTATACTTGTCCCAACTTTGCCACTTCCATACTGTGCCACGACCTCACTGTGCTACTTTACTTTTATTATAAATACTTAAGTTATGAATGATACAATTTTTTTTTCGAAGTTTAATATGCCTACATTAGACGCTAGAAGAGCATTTAGATCTATTTTATATTCATGTTGACTACATAAAAAAAAATTATAAATTATATTAATATTCAAAAATGACTACTAATTTATATTATATTATTAATGTATTATAATACAATGTAATAAATCTAATAACAATAGAAAAAAAATTTGTTTAACAATTGTTATTTAGACAATTCCAACTTGTAACATAAATAAGCAACATAAAATTTAATTATAGCTAAGTTAAACAATAAAGTTTAAATAAAAATTTAATTTAGTAAAAACCATATCTGATGAAATTTTTATAGATAATATTTCAGATATTTGCCATACTTTTTCTGTAACCAAAAAACTGTAAAAAATAATATTAAGTTATTCTATAAAACCTGATTTTTTTGTTATTCAAAAGCCACCTCTAGATTTGAAAATAGTCAATAATGTAAAAATTTATCAGAAAATTATTTCTCCCGATGAATATCAGTGAATAATCAAAAAAAAAAAAAAAATTGAAATGATTAAATATGATAACACTGTTTATGTTTGTATATTATTTTTATAGTATATTATTAACTACTAGGCTCCGACTAGCTGGGGCTCTGCCCCAGACCCGGGGACCTTCGAGCCTTACGCGCCGAAGGCGCGTAAGCCTCTTCGGGCCGTCATCATAAGTAGGCCACTGATTCCGGTAGGGGTACACGGCTACGCCGGGCACGATAAGTGTTTTTCAGAAAAAATATTACTTCAGAATCAGTGTAACAAAACTATATCTAAAATGTTATTATCAAAAAAAGGAAAATTCAAAAAGAGAATATAGTAAAATGTATTGGGTATAAGGTTGACGCCTCTTAATAAGGTATTCCCTTTTGGCCTATTCAAAAATTATTTTAGGAGGATATTTAATATTTTAGCTTCGATGCGAAGCTGAGAAGGTATTGGTTTTACTATGATGTGTTTTTTTTTTTTGTGTCTGTTACCACTTTTTCTCAGCTCTCACCGAACGGATTTCTTTCAACGATACGTCAAAAGATCACAAATCGTATCTAGTCGAAGACATTACCCTTAAAAATTGTAAAAAATTCCACCGTTCCCGATAAATGGGGGAAACTTCCAAAAAAATTACAAATTTAAAAGTCGCTAATTTTCGAGATTTTTTCAATTTTTTTTACTAAAATGTGCCGTAACATTTTCTAAAATGAACATATCAATATAATTTTTTTTTTATAGATGCTTGATGTTTTTACCTATCATTTGATATATTTTTTTTGTAAATTTGACCCTTTATCTGCGCACAGAAGGGGATTTAAAAAGACAATTTTTTCACAAAAAATTAACTTTTTCAACTTAACTTTTGAAAATGTTCCAGAAGGTCTGACACTTTTAAATATATCTTAAGTTAAAGCTTATGTAATGTACTTTAATTTGAAAAAAAAAAATTGACCTCTGGACTTGTCTTCATGGTGAAAATGGCTATCGAATGCTATTTTTGTATGAAAATTCTCGATTTTATTTTTTACATTTTTAACTTTATAATGCTATAACTTATTGAAAAGTGTATGGATCCACACAATTTTTTTCTGAGAAATAATATTTTTTAATAAACCCTTTTTCGTTTGACATACTTTATCTTAATCGAGATATTAATAAGGAATCAGCAGATCATGTAGCTTTTGGAATAAAACACCAATTTTTTTTAAATTTAACACTATCTAAAGATTTGCATGGAAGGGTTTTTTTTGATAGTGATTTTAATCACTGTCTGATATCATTATACTTGATCCAACTATACCACGACACCACTGTGCCGCGACCCCCATGTGCTGGGTTTTTTACTTTGTTAAACATGTTATAGAAATTTTTTTGCTAAAATTAAAGTAATGATAAAAAGAAGGACATTAGGTCCTAATATATTAGAAGTTGCCTAAAAAAATATTGATAGCACTGGTTCAAGGGGGACCTATATATCTCTTAAATACACCCCTGTTATACACAAAAATTATTAATAATCTAATTATAATAATTGTGTTTATATTATAGAATAAAAAAAAAAAAAAATTTAGTAGGTTATTATACGTGGCACATTGTAAAAAATTTAATTTTGATAAATGTATTGGTAACTGCGATTTAACGATGGACATCAGAGTTATCATAGATGAATCCCAATTCAAACGATAAACTCATAGTCTCATACATCATATATGAGAAAAAAAAATTATTAATACTGTACTTAGTACTGTTCTGATAATGAAAGTACAAACTTATATAATTATAACGTCTTGAAATTTATATAAACACATAACATTCCTTGATAAAATATAGTGCAAATGCAAAATAGTGTCTTAATAATAAATATTGCAACATATATTTAAGGTTCATAATAAACGTATCAGCAGAAATGAATCACTGCGCGTGGACTTAAAAAAAAGAAAAAAAAGCTCGTAAAACGGTGATAAATGAACGGATTGGATTGATTTTTTATCATATCTCAGCAATGTCATTAGGCGGGTTTGATGAAAATTTCAAACCTTAAGTTGTAAAACGCTGGCGTCAGCGAGCGTTTACTCGAAAACGGTCGAAACTTTTTAAACGCACGCGGGTGAGCGTCAAAAATTTTCCGACCTTTGCCAATAATTTTCCCGGAGTCTGGTGACCGAGTACTTTCGTTGAAAAAAAAAAAAATTGAAAATCCGAGCACGCTAAGTAATTTTCCCAGAAAAGCGTTTTTTTCCTTGTTCTATTATATAATAAGATATTTGTGTACACATTGTGATTCATTAAGTATATTATCCCATATTTTTCCGTTAAATAATGATTTTTCCATAGAAATGCATTAATTAAAAGTATATTAAATTATATAATCTGCGCCAATAGTTTTCCCAGAGTTATGTTACCAAGCTTTGTCATTTAAAAAAACAATTTGAGAATTGGACATCATTTAGTAATTTTCTTGTATTGTCAAATTGTTCAATATTTTATTACATACTAAATATTAAAATACATTTTACCATAAAATTCCTAAAATAATTTTATAAAAAAAAAGTTTAATATGATTTAGTGTCGGACCAATGCCATTTAAATATATTTTTGAAATACATATTTCATAATTAAAAGTAATAAATAAATAGAAGCCACGAGTCAAATAAATTAAATAGCATATTTTTCCTAAAATAAAATAGATTCATGTATTTAAAATCAACCAGTTATTTTTTATTTCATTCAACTATATTATNGATTCATGTATTTAAAATCAACCAGTTATTTTTTATTTTATTCAACTATATTATATTCTATAGTTTAAAAACTTAAATTGCATATAGACTATTGAAATGCAACACCAAAAAAATCATAACATGGTATGTTCTACTTCTATATAACTTCGTGATATAAATTTTATGTTAAAATTAAATAATTTTTTTTTCAGAATTCACTTACTATATGTATGATTGTATTAGTATTAGCTGTTGATTTCTCCTTAGCTATTAGTAATGAAAATTTATTATCTTATTTATTATAATCATAGAATTTGGAAGTACATCCATATATGTATAAGAATTGATAGAATAAAATAAATTACATCTATAGTAAAGATCTCTATTGGAAGTTCTTTAATGATCTATATCTTGCACAAAATATTTATCATATTACATTTACTTTAACCACAAAGGGAGGTGAGAATAAAGATGAGTATATTGAGATCGTACAGCAGTTCCCGTTCTCGGCTGACACTCCGGATTAACTATAGGTGTCGAAAGGCCATTGTTATAAGATGGGACTAGAGGTAACACCTAGGTATGAGAAGCAGACGATGTGCAGGACACAAACACGCTTAAATGTATAGAAAATGGATGAAAGTAGATATGTGTAAAGGAATGAACAAAGATTTGACTTGTTACAATAAGCCGGATAGCGATAACCGAGTAATAAGACTGATGACTTACGCAAAGCATAAGACTACGTACTGAAGTCGAATGATTACGATGACCTTTGGGTTTCAATAGTTTTAGATTGTTTGCTAATTTCGCAATAAATATTTTTTATTGTCAATTCATCAGTCGTTAGCAGCGAATACGCAGACTGTGTGTTATTTTATAGTATATTTTGGTTATAGTCTCTAATTAGTTGATTCTAGTTAAAATTATTAGATTATAACTTAATAATAAATGATAATATTTTATAGAGTGTATTGTTTGTTCCGGAAGTAAGGAATTAAAGAAAAATAAGTGTGGTCACTATTATTGTGACCATTGTAAAAAGTTATTTTCATATTGTACGAAGTGTGGAGATGATTTCGATTTTGGTAATATTATTAATAATATTCAATATAAGATCTAAATTCACCAATAACATTTATAATTTATTTTTTATATTTTCTATTACTTTTTATAAAGCTTTTACAGTCTGTCTGAATGCTATAACTTGATATGTTTTGTGATCTTTTCTCGTATCGTTTTAATAATTTTGAACAAATTAGGTTCAGTAGAAACGAGTTTAATAGCATATATAAAGACAAAAAAACGGTAGCACAGTGAGGTCGTGGCATAATTGAGACAAGTATAGATGATAACTGACAGTAATTATAATCACTATCATAAGAAACCCTTCGATGCAAATCTGTAGATAGTATTTAATTTTAAAAAAATTGTGGATTATTCCAAAAGTGGCATTAACTTCTATTTAATAGATTAAGAAAAAAATACAAAAATAAGTAATTTTGATGGGTGGGGTTCGAACCTCGTTCCCG